AAAAAAAAAAAAAAAAAAAAAAAAAAAAAAAAAAAAAAAAAAAAAAAAAAAAAAAAACCACAAAAACTAGAAATGCAAATGGAGCAGTTTAAACTGAGAGTAACTGCCAGATGGTTTTGATCAAGGTGGGCTATTCCAATGCCAGCAGCCATTTGAATGACTGGATGATTAACGAGAAAACTGCCGATTGTCTGATTTCTTGCTGATGTGCTTGAAGATTTTCGCTTTGTGGACACTCTTGGACTTCTGGTAACCGAATCCTCCACCTCCACCTCTTTTCTGTAGTCTTCTGCCATGGTTGCTGTTCACATCTGAAGTTTTATTGGTTAAAGAACTTAAAAAGGAATAATTTGAAATGTTTTTTTGGGGAGGGTTTTGAAAGGGTTATTAATATGAGGGAAAAAATACCAGCACTATACAAATACTGCATAACTATAGAGGAAACCAGAACTATGTGCCTGTGGTTCTAAATACTCCTGCAGTTGTCCAAAGTGCTATTGCTTTCAAGTTCCATCCACTGCCAGATCTGACAGCAATCTAAATACAGCCTTCTATTTCATGCTTTTGCTCCTCTGTGTCAATATTCCCTGACTATGAAACATAAGCACGTGCATTTCCATGAAAATAATTTTGCAGAGAGGAGAACAGTGCTTTGAGACACATCTGCTGCCCCACAGCAACTGAGGCACACACAGCAAGGACATGCACAAAACACAGATGTTTGTAGGCAATTTTTGCAGTTACAGTATGTGCAATGTAACATTTCCTTTGATAATCTACTGGGGGAGCTTGAGGGATTCCTATGGTGAGTAGCAAAAAACCCCCCCAAAACTACAAACCACCAGAACCTGAAGCAGCACAGGAATTCAGTAAGTTGCACTGAACACTTATAATGCAGAAATTCAGCTTTGAAACACTGCAGTAAAAGGATACTGAGGTCAACAAACGGAGGAACTTTAAAACCAAATGAAAGGCTGACTTTGGGAAGATCCAAGTTGTTGACATCATAGATCTGCTTCAGAGAATGGGAGTCATAAGCTCTAATGTAAGCTTTGTATGCCTCCTGGGCTGACTTGTGAAGGAAATAATTCTTCTCTATCAGTTTTTCCAGCTTGTGAGAGAAAAAAAAACCAAACAATGAAGAGTCACAAACAATGATATCTGTAAAGTCCATACATTATATTCCAGCAGGTTATTTACTGTGTGAGTGGCAATGACATTCTCTATTCACTTCAGCAAAACTGCCCTGTGACAGCAGAGTGCACATACAGGAATCAAAATGCTTTTATAAACAAGTAAAGGGACATAAAAGCCTGAAGCTGAATTACACTAGAAACAAAGCCTCAGCAATACATAAATTCACAGAAATAATAAAAAAAAAAATAATCAAGAAGGAGAATACAACTGCAGCCACACCATGAAATGATGTGTATTGAGAATTAGTGGACAATAACAATATGCCTTTAAGTCTAAACTCCATGATTCCATGTAATTCTGTAGAGTTTTATCCATTATGGTGCAAATGCATTGTAAAATAAGCAGTGTTTTCTAAGACAAGAATGCAGATAAACTAGTGTAGACTGAGACATGTGATTTGTTGTGGGCCAGGTTCCCAATACTCATTAAATCAGTGTCTCATATGATGTTTAACATATGCTAATTCAGCATACTAAAAATAAATTACATTAGTCACCATTATTTCCTGATTATTCTTAATTAGGAACCTATGATTGTAAGGACTGTCTTCATTGCTTCTTGTACTTGCTATTTTACATTTAAGTTACTGCAAAGAAACTTTACAGATCTCTTATCAAAACAATTATTCATAGAACTCACCAACAACAGAAATTCACATCTACAGAATTATCTATGCTATTCCACTCAACTTTGTGCTCCGTGGTTATTTTTGTAGCACCAGAACACAAAGCGGGTTTAGCTGATGCTGGGCTTTATTAACACCAGCGAGTTAAAAATACATATGGACTATATACTAACATTCCTAAGTGTTTGTACTGGATCTATTTCTGCACACTGAAGTCTGAGAAAATCATCTTACAACACATACATTACTCACAATTAATCTAAACGTAAGTAATTACCCAATAAAAGCTACCAAACCCCTACTTGCTAAACCAGGTAAGAACATTCTGTTCAAAAGTGGAAAGCAGGTTGACATCACTGTCATTTTGTGTCACTGTCCTTTTGTCATTTTTTGATGTAATGTGAAAAAACAATTCCTAAAAGCAAATTTGTACTGTATAATGGTGACAATTTAGTACTAGATATTAAAATTCATCTTTAATTACTAAATATTTTCTTGCTTAACTGTCAAGGGCAGGAGGATTTCCTGCACAGTGCTCATTTACTAGAACTTTCCTGAACAAGCACACCTCTTTGTGAACTGCAGTTGTTACAGGCTGTAACATTCTCCATGTAAATTACAATATTCAAAGTAATTGCAGTGTAAAGTCATTTCATACCTGAGACTGGATGTCTGAAATTTTTGACCAAGAAAATTCAAATTCACTCAGCGGTACCTTAAAAACAAAAGAGGGAATGAAATATCAAAATTATTTACACTCTAGTGAAAGTGTTTAAGACCCAAGACAAAAAAGATCAGCTAGATAAAAGAAGATTTTTTTTTTTTTAATACCACAGCTGTATCTGTCAAGTGCCTTTACATCAATATGACAGTATTATCACCTCCTTTAAGCTGAAGTAATAAAGATGCTCAGTACGACACCTTCTTTTACCACTTTTGCTTCAGAAGTTATACCACTTCAAAAGGGGCAAAACAAGCCCATAAGGAGAGCAACAAAAAGCTCTGTGCAGCTCTATCATATTAAAATGGCTACATTTACAAGAAGGCTACGCTTCCTTTGGAATTCAATAAATTGAAACTGATCTTTGAATAGAAAAAAAGTTTTTAAATTTAAAAACCTGATGCACAGCAAACAAACAAAAAAAAAACCCATTAAAATGTAGACACAAGTTTACCCTGGCTTGTTTTAGGTATCGCAGAAAGCCCAGTTCTTCTGGTCGTAAAATGAGCAGAGCGTGTCCTCTCCCATTTATGCCTCTGGCAGTTCGACCAACACGATGAATATATTCCTTTTGGGAAGGATAAGCAACAGCAAATTTAATCAGTCTTACAAACTTGCAATAATCAAGGTGCTTCACAAAAAATACCCAAAATTTGACATGAATATAATGTAATATAGCATTCATTATTTCTTAAGACTTATTCTTGGCACTGGCAAATGGATGAGGGAAACCAATTGCTGAAGATGAAAAGCACAGGTAGGCTGAGACAGAACCCCTGACTAAAGTAATTTACCTTTTACTGAGGGAAAAAATCATAGTCTGATGTAATTAAAAATTAAACCTCGGCTTTGGTGAATTTGCTGTGTACATTTGTCAAAACTTCAGAGTTTTCCGAATTTCACTTGTACATAGTAGACATTTATTCAAACCAGATTTTTTTTTTTTATACAAAAATCAAATTTCAACTGGAAAAGCTGTTAAGACTCAGAGGGATGCACACATAAACTCACACTCCTCCTGAAAAGCATTTTGTTGTTTAGCTGATTAGATTTTAAATTAATTTCACAGCAAAAAGAATGTTTTATAAAGCAATTTTTAAAAAGCAACAAAGGTCTCAGTTAGGAGCAGGATTTCCTAGGAGGTATTGAAGGTAAGTGAAAGAAATCAGTGGCTGGATGTGACCACGGCTGAATCCTGACCTCCCTCAAGCTGCAGTTTTAGGGTTTTTTGCAACTATATTTGTAGTGAAGATTTGATTTCTTGCTGTGAAGTTTCTCTCTTTCCTTAACTTACCTTGGGATCATCCGGAGGGTCATACTGGACGATCCAGTCAACTTCAGGAATATCCAATCCTCTGGCAGCAACATCAGTGCACAACAATATTCCAGATTCTGCATTACAGAACTGGAAAAACGTTGTAGTACGTTTGGTTTGCTTCTGCTTGCCCTAACAAGAAACAAACACATGGGGCATGAAATATCAACCAAAAAAACCTGAATTTGCCAGCTGGTAAACTTAAATATAATTTCTCATTTCACATATATATTATTTGACACATATAAAATAATTTTGGGCATCTTTCCAAATCTTAGTGTTGTACAGACCAAGCAGGACTATTTCACAGTGAAGAAACAAGGAAAAAATTAAACAGCACAGGGCTACACTAAGTAACAACTCCCAGAGGTAACAATGTATCACCAAAAGTATTAAAAATTAAATATTGCATAAACATTCTGTTCAGGAGGGCTGCATAAACGTCTGAAGTTCAAGAAGGACATTTGCAAGTCCAGCAATATGTTAAGAGCGATTACAGGTTAAAAAGCAAGCAACCAAACAAAACCCACACTTGTAACAATTCAATCGAAGAATAGCAAAAAAAAAATCTCCTGAAGAACAAAACAAAAAAGGATATTTGTGGTTAGCTACAGCTGTTTCATAGACTTACAGTCAATTCTTTGTCCTAAACTATACATTTTGTGGTTTTGACAGAAAAGCCACAATGCTCATCCAAATGGTAAGAACTGGCAGAGCAAACCCAAACATCACCCCAGCCTTAAGAAAAAGCACCAAACACTTCAGGGATCAAAAACTTTGGATTTCTCTGACAAGAGCTTTGCTCCACAAGTTGATTTTAAGTGCTTGTGAAAGGCGACCTCTTGGAAGAAAACATAGTTCTTTCTACACACAGAGCAAAAATTAATATCAGTGTTCAGTCTAGTTAAAAAAATAGCAAGTTTAATTACTGAAGTGTTGTTATTATATAAGTGTTGTTATCTTTCCTTTCTCTACAGACTAATCAGGACCATCACCAGTTTTGCAAGTAGGGCATCTGTTTTTTAGAAACCGGACTGAAACAAACAAGGCAAATGTAAGGTCAGTAACAATTTCCAGGTACTATGAGATTAACTGAAAATAAATTAATGAATAGAACACTTACATGAATGGCCAAAACAGGCAGATCAATGTAGTTGAGTAATTCATAGTGGTACTTCACTGACATACATGAAGAAAAAAATACCATCAGTTTCTTCTTCCGGTTTTTCTTGAGGAATGTGAAGAGCAAAAGGAACCTTTTTTCAGACGGACACACTACATACCCCTGGAAAATTTTTAAACATTATTATTTACAGAGAAGTAGGGAGAAAACTTCTGTTTCAGCAACACAGTTAAATCAGAGAAGGGTTATGTTGTGAAACAAATACACCAAATAGTTAAACAATGAAATATATCTGTAGCATATCAATCTCTAGTCACTAACGTGGAAAATACAGTTATAAAGACAACTGGAGCTTGTGAATGAACAGACAAGTGTAAGTACCTATATTATTATTTCATGAAGTTTTATATCATTTGTCCTATAAACATGGACCAGATGAAGGTAACTTACCAGTCTGCACTCTGAATAAAGCCCTTTGGGCAACTGAATGGCTTTTGCCCACTAGGATGATAAACACCCTTTAAGACAACCCCATTAAAAACACAGAGGAATTGGCGTGTTCACAGATCATAGCCCTTCTAAAATTCATGCTTTACCTGTTCAAGACCATCTACTGTTGCTGTCTCCTTGTTATCATCAACCCCAACATACAGTGGCTCTTTCTTCAGAGAGATCTTTGCCAGATCTTCAACCTTTCTGGTTTGTGTAGCAGAGAAAAGCATCGTCTGTCTGCGCTCTGGAAAATATTTAATTTGAAAGACAGACTCACTTTTTAAAGAATTCAAATAGCAAGGCCATAAAATACCCAACTGCAACCTACCCTAAGCAAGTCTCTTACTTTTTTCAATTAAATTCTAATTAAAACATACTGCTACTGACAAGCAAAGAGCAGTGTAATTGTATTATGGATTGTACAGGTTGTTTACTCAGGCTGTCTCCACCTTCACAATCCTAACAACTATAAACTTGCAATATTCTCCCTCTCTGGGAAAATGTCAATATCATTTGCAATCCAATTTAGACACAAAGCAATTATTTAAATAGAGACTGGCCTTGTAATTCTACCTATTAATTGATTTAATTCCCATGAATGTTAAAATGTTTTTGTGTAGGAAAGCTCCTGCCTGACTGTCACCTCTCAGCTCAAACACACATCCTGATCCTACAACATTTTCTTGTTACACAGGTACATGGGAAATGCAGACTCAGCCTGTTCCATTTCATAACTTCAAGAACAATAGCAGTGGTTCTTGATGAACATTCAGTGCCACTATCTTTGGGTTTTTTTTCTATTTTGAAGAGTCTGTTTTAAAATATAATTTCCTTTTTAACACAGTGAAACCAAATTAAACTCATGCAAAGTAAATATTTCTTTTCTCTATCAATTACACGTCATTTTCACGCTCTTCCTTCCCTTTCTCTTTTTAGCACTGGTCATTAATATTTTTCACATTATGTTATTTATTAGATGTATATATCTGCATTTTAAACACACAGATCTGAATTTTAATATTTAAGATGCGGAAACTCAAATGTACTATTTCCATGGGGTTTCTTCTGCATTTTTAATGTTTAAAAGGAGAGAGCCTTGTTGACTCTGAATATGTGTTTATACAGCAATTACAAGGAATATCTAAATGAAAAATTAGGAAAAGAAAAACTTTAGGTATATACTTAAACTTCCTTAAGATACTGGCCTTGGAGGTATGAAAAAACCCTTGAACTGCAAGACAGAAAACCTTTTTCCTTATAGTTAAAATCTTATTAAGAAATAATGAATTGCAAGAAATAAAACAGGCAGAGTAGGATGAATGAGAAAATGCAGATGTTAAATTAAAACCATTTTATATGAACAGAATTATATCTCTAAAGAGCGTATGAAAACTCTGCTCTTCAGATAAATTATGTTAAACAAGGTATTATAAAAAAAAAAGACAGAGTAAGACAACTACTACGCAGTTCATTTACAGAACTAAAAAATTAATGACTTCTCTTATAATACTTGAGTCAGAAAGAAGACATAATATTAGTCAAGTAATTTCCAGGAAAGACTGATTTCTTTGTTCTTACTTGGCAAAAGTTTTATGATCTGTTTCATTTCTTCTTCAAATCCAACCTCCAAGATTCGATCTGCCTCGTCAATTACCAAACACTGCAAGTTCTTATACATGAAACCTGGAGTGTTCTAGAAGATGAACAAATTCACAGTCAGACAGGGACAAAAGTTTTATTACATTTTAAAAACACAGATTAGACATCAATATTGTATCTACCTGCATATGATCCAGCAGCCTTCCTGGTGTTGCTACAATGATGTTGATTCCATTTCCAAGCTTCTGTGCTTCTGCTGATCTGTTACTGCCCCCCATTATCAGACCATAGGTGTGAACATGATGATTCATGAGTTCTTTAAGAACCCCATAGGTCTGCATAGCAAGCTCTCGAGTAGGAGAAAGAATAATGACACCCGTTCCTAGAAAATACATCAGTGGGACAGGAGTAAATTCCAACTCATCCAGTCCCCTCCTAACCACGTGCCTAAATGGCCAAGTAAAATTCAGCTGTGAAATGAAGAGCCTTACCATTTCTAGGCATGAATTTCAGCTTGTAGATGAGCTCTACTGCAGGAATGAGAAATGCAAGTGTTTTGCCACTGCCCGTTTTTGCAGCTGCTAAAATATCCCTGTATGGAACAGAGTTAGAAAAAGTATTTAGATAAAAAAATAAGTATTTAGTTTGCCATACAGAGAAAAGAACAGTCCCACTCCGAAAACTGTTGACACTGTAAAAAACATGACATGGCTTAAAGGAGACCAGTGGAGTTGGTGTTACGATCCAGGTCACAGCAATCGGTCTCTCTGTCTCTGGTGTCAGTGTCTTCGAGACACACTCACAAGACTAATGAAAACTGGCTTCTCTGCTTCCAAAGCCAAAGGCAAAGCAGCTCCAGGAGCTTACTCAAGTATTTGTTTACATGCAATAATGACACCCTATTTGTATTAATGACTATAAACAAGATATGTAAAACATAAGAGAATGCATTAAAAAACCCCAACGGTTTAGCTGCAGAAAGTCACACTTCAGCTGTGCCAGGGGAGGTTCAGGTTGGACATCAGGAAGAATTTCTTCACTGAACAGGTTGTTAAGCATTGGAATGGGCTGCACAGAGAGGTGGTGGAGTCACCATCCCTGGAGCTGTTCAAGACACAACTGGACACAGCACTCAGTGCTATGTTTTAGTTGACAAGGTGGGGTTGGGTCAGAGGTTGGACTTGATGACCTTGGAGGTCTTTTCAAACCTTAACAATTCTATGGTTCTATTCAATGATTCATCTATTTAGCTTGCTGGCAAAATTCACACAACATTTCGGACCATCAGAGTGATTAAAAAGACATTTCTTACCTGCCTTCCAGAAGAGGCTTAATACTTTTATGCTGAATTTCAGTCATGTGTGTAAACCCCATGTCATTCACGCCTTTCAATGTATTCTCACTGACAGCACCAGCCAGGGAAGCAAAAGAATTGTCTTCAAAAGCACCTGAAGTGAGGGGGAAAATGAAAAATATTTGAACTTACTTCTTCAATTCCATCAGTCCTCTGAAATTACCCAGTTAAAACTGACCTATATTAAAAAAAAAAAAAAAGGGGTTTTTTCTTTTTCTATTCTACCATAAAACCCAAAGATATTGACAAAATACTCTTTGTTACTGTAGTACTAAGAAAATTACAGAGAGCTAGTAAGAATGAAAATGAATCCACTGCTTCTCATGGCCAATTTATTAGCTGTATGCTTCCACCTTGCTCTTCATGGACTTTTCCCTCTACAGTTAAACACATGTGTATGCAAGTTTAAAAAACAAACTTTCACCTGTAATTTTAAGACTAACAGGCGTGTATATAATGCAAATTCCTAAGAAGAGTAACTAGAGGACAGCTGAATATCTGCCAGTGTCAATCACCTGAATTCAAACACCTGCATTACAAAGTTCATTTGAAAACTGCAACTTGCTCTGGAAGAAAGTGTTAGACCCTGGGTTTTTGCACACACATGAAAAAGAGAACACAAGATACCTGTTAAACCTAGTGGTAAACTGGGCACTTCATCCTCCTCATCATCCTCCTCTTCCACTTCTTTCTTTTCGGAATTCTGCTTACGTCCATTTTCTACCTCTGCAGATTCATCCTCTTCAGTTTTTGCTTTTTTGGTTTCTGTATCTAGAGTATTGTTTTACAGAAGACAAGTCAGTGATAAAAAGGACACGTTAATCATGAAAAACCATTCCTCAGACTGCATCTCCTTTAGTCTCTAAATCATGTACAAAGATCATGCTTTCCATCAGGTGGAAGTGGCTGGAGAAAGGAAGGCAAAGTTTCTATTGAATTTTCTGAGGCACAGAGCAAAAAATTCATAAGTCCCTTCCATACAACCCACTTTGCATAGTAAAACAACGAAGCTTAATGTACATTAGATGATATTTTCTGTGGAATAAATATAAACTGTCCTTAAAAAAGGTAAAAAATTCTTTCCCATTTGTAATGCAGACATTAAGTTTCCAACACAGTTTGTGCTTAGAATATTAGAAACATAATGTCTGTTGCATTTTAAGTACCTGAGTCCTCAGAGGATGAAAGCACCTCTTCACTGGCATAACCGTGATAAGAACCACAAAAATAAAATACATGAGGAACAGAAGCTTGAAAAATACATATGTCCATATATATATGTAAAAAAAATACATGAAAATCTAGCGATATTTCTGGGGTGCTATTTTTTGTGTAGTTTTCCAGTATACTTTAGTTTTATAATACACAGACGTTGCCAAAGGCCGGACATGCTGCTAAAAAGTCGTACTGGCTGCACAGCCAACACAGAGATCACCCATCTGTCAGAGCTCCACTCTAAAACACAGGATGCGCATTCGTACAACAAACAAGCAGAACGTCGCAACTGTATGTTACAAAGCAGAATCCTATGCAATATCTACATTGGCTGCTACCGGTTTAGAATGAATTGGAGTTCAAGCATCCTAGCTGCAATAAAACAGGTAATGCTGAAAACCTCCGGGTTTTTAAAACACACACCAGACTGGCACATGGCACGGGGCGGAAACCCTAAGGAGGCACTTTAGGGGCGTCCAAGAATAACCCAGCCCTGGGAGACAAGCTGTATTTGCTAAGACAACGCACCATCTCCCGCATCAGCCGCCGCTTTCCTCTTCTTCTTCTTCTTTTTCTTCTTCTCCTTCTCCCCGCCGCGGGGTCCGGCAGCGTCCGCAGGCTCCGCGCTCTCCTCCACCTCCGGGGCTGCCGCTGCCTCCTCCTCCTCTTCCTCCTCCGGGGGTCCCTGGGAAGCCGCCTGGCCCAGGGAGGGCACTGCGGGGAGAGAGAGAAAGAGGGAGAGGAGAGAACACAAAGTGAGCGGCGGCTCGGCCAGCGCTCAGCCCGGGGGGAGGCTCCGCCGCGCCCGCACCTGCCCCCTCGGCCGCCCGCAGCTTCAGGTTGCGCTGCCGCAGCTTCAGGTTGCGCTTGTGGATCTTCCTGCGGAGCAGCCGCATGGGCAGGTTGCTGGCGGTCGCCGGCACCGACATCGCGGCGGTGGCGGCCCCGCTGTCCCGGTGGCGGCCCCGCTGTCCCGGCACACGTGGGTGCGCCGCGTCCGGGACCGCCGGAACCGCCGGCACCGCCGGCAGGGCCCGATGGGAGCCCGGCAGCGCCTCCTGGGGGCCCGGCGGAGGCAGCGCCCCTCGGCTCCGTGTCCCGGCACGGCCCTCAGAGCGGCCCGGGGCTCCTCCCGGCCCCGCTGCCCCGCCCGGAGCCGCGCCTGAGCCGCCGAGGGGGAGCGCGGGCCGGCTCTCCCTCAGTAAGGGACTCGCCATCTCCCCCACAGTCCCCCGCAGGACCCGCCTGCCCCGTGGTGTTGTTTCCACTCACGGCTACGGGTGTTTAACTCCAGTGGGAGAAAGAAACAGAATCGCATAATCGATCGGAAAAGACCTCTGAGATCTTTGAGTCCAACTGTGTCCGAACACCACCATGTCACTGAGTGCCACGTGCAGTCTTTCCTTAAACACCCCCAGGCACCGTGACTCCACTACCTACCTGGGCACCCCATTCCAATGTTTAATCACCCTTTCTGTGAAGAAATTCTTCCTAATGTCCTACCTAAACCTCCCATGGCACAGCATGAGACTATGTCCTCTCATGCTGTCACTTGTTGCCTGGGGGAAAAGCCCGATCCCCACCTGGCTACAACCTCCTGTCAGGTAAAGAGGGATAAGGTCTCCTCTGAGCCTCCTTTTCTCCAGACTAAACAATCCCAGCTCCCTCAGCCGCTTCTCACAGGATTTGTGCTCCAGACCCTTCCCCAGCTCCATTGCCCTTTTCTGGACTCACTCCAACACCTCAATGCACGTCTTTAATTGAGAGGCACAGAACTAACACAGCACTCAAGGTGCAGCCTCATCAGTGCTGAGTACAGGGGGACAATCTGTTCCCTAGTCCTGCTGGCCACTGGCCTTCTTGGCCACCTGGGCGCACTCCTGGCTCATGTTTAGCCAGCTGTTGACCTGTACCCCCAGGTCCTTTTCTGATAAACCACTTTTCCAACCAGTATCCCCTCAGCCTGTAAACTGAAACTTGCAGGCTTGCAGGATGTCCAGCAGCGGCCCTGGGGATAAAGGAAACAGCTGTGCCTTTGGTGTAGACCTGCATCTGTGGTAGCCACCTGGTAGCCACCACTGTCTATTCTTCCTTATGGGTGCAAGGAGCATGGGAATCCCTTGGCGTTTTCATCCCATGGCAGTGCTAGTGCATGCCCAAATAATAGAATCACAGAGTGGTTTGGCTTGGAAAGGACTTAACCATCATCTCATTCCAACCCCCTGCCATGGACACCTCCCACTAGACCAAGTTGCTCAGAGGTACATCCAGCCTGGCCTTGAAACACTTCCAGGGATGGGACATCCACAGCTTTTCTGTGCAACTTGTTTTAATGTCATCTTTGAATCTGGGCACGATTTCTTGAAGCTCTATTAGGCAGCACTTTCCAGCTGGCCAACTGGAGTTCCCAGCAGCATGACCTTTCCTTCTAGCGTCCTCGTGCTTTTTGCCTCTTCATCGTCTTCCAAAGAGTGATTCCCTCAGGCTGAATCGCAGCATCCCTCAGCTCCTTCCTGACCAGCAGAGGGCACAGACAGCACAGGGATACACGGCAGCTTTGCTGCCTGAAATCGGTAACTGCAGCTTTCTTAGAAATCTGAATAATTACAAATTATTAGTATGGCTCAGCTTGCGATACCTTGCTGTAGCACAGAATAAACTGCAGAAATATTTCTGTATTCATTTTGAAGCGTTTATTGCATATAAGTTTTCTTAAAGCTACTGATATTAGAGATGAAAAAAAGTAATTTTTCACCATTCTGTAATTGTTGTTTTGCAGAGGTCATGTGGAGAAGAATTAAATTTGTTTTTCCACAGCTTCAGGCTGTGAACCATGTGAACTTGTCTAGATCTTCACAGGCTAGATAACAGGTCTGGCCTCTGGCTTATTAAGTTGAATGGATAACTGTTATCTCCATAAGCTGCATTTGAAAACAAACTGATCCGTCCACAGCAAGAAAGGCTTTTGGTACAAAATCCAAGGGACTCAGTTTTACCAGCTTAATTTTAATCAGCGTAATTTATGTTCTGGACATATTTTCTTCTTGGATACATTAAATTGTATTTGCAGGATATATTTTTAAGTAGACATGGGTTTGCTCTCCCTAGTCTGTACGGAATTATGTGTATGTGACAAAGTTTACTATCTGGATCCGAATTTAACCCAGGCAGGGCTTCTTTCTGGAATATGGTCATTGTGCAAATAAAGTGTATTGAAAATCTAGACAGGGAGCTGGCACTGATACTTACACTGAGGGAGGACAAGATTATGTCCTTCGGGCATGGCATGTCTGTCGGTCTGCCTGTGCCCATCCTAACCAATAGTGCCAGGATCACCACTATTTTGGCTTTTACCCACGTCACCACACCCCCAGCTCTGCCAAGAATTAGGACCTGAAAACCTTGCTCAGGTGAAAACCTAAATAAAAACTCACCTCAGTGGCCATGTTGGGTCCTGGCTGACTTGGCAAGTCTCTGTGAAATTGCATTAGTGTGGCACGAGGCCCAGACTGATAAACTGTCCCGAGGAGTTATGTCAGGTCCCACTGACCAGAATATATTGGCTGTGTCTGTTGGCTACTATCAGCACGGTGCACAAGGAGAACCTTTTGATAAAAGATGATCTTACATCTGTGTAAACAGGTGTCGTGGCATTGTGTACAGGAATTCAGAAATTGCAGATTTCATTAGGAGGCAAAGTATCATGTGCTCCAGCATTGCTTTTTATAAAAATCTTGTAAAATATGTTGCTTAGAGTTAACAAATAAGTGTGCTTCTTTGGAAATTTCAAAACAAATCTTACAAGCTTCTTTCTTTTTCTTTTTTTTTTGTATTTTTTTTCTTCAAGCTGTAATTGTCACAGAAAGAAGATTCAGAAGGTAATAATGATATTTTTATTGTGACAGGTCTAGACAATAATTTGAGCCACTAACTCATGTTAATAGTTTTGCTCTGAATTTTGTCATTTCTTAGATACCGTCTGAATTCCCCCTAGTACATGTCTCATTTCTGTCCAATAAATTCATTCCTAATTGCTTGAGTTATCAGGCAATCGTTACAAACAAAAGGATTTTTTAAAATGGTTATCGAGTTGTTGTCAAAATGTCTCAAATTTTCTACACATGGTCTTGCAAGAAGGTTTGTAAAGAAACAATGTTTTGTGTTAGTAAAGCTTTCACAGAGCTGAATAAGTCCGTATAAGGTACTCTGAATTTATCTTTTAAGATGAATGTTTTTAATGGGCTGCCAATGTCAGTGTTTACCTCTCTGAGTCAATTTATCCTTAAAGCCAAATTCAAAATATTTGTTCCAGGTTACCATTAACTAACTTGTGTTGGCTAAAATGTAACACAAAAGTAGTCATTGATTTCAGTTGTATCATTTCAGGTAGATGGTGATAATTTGTACAAAAAGTACCAAAATCCAATCTAGAAAAGGTCATGAAGCAAAAGTGTGTAGTCATTTTTTGATACGAGAGTTGGGGCACAGAGTTGATTTAAGGAAGACAGGTTTTATTTTCAGAAGTCAGAGTCTGAAAAATGCTTTTTTGATGTCTTGGATTGGACATGAAGAAAAATCACCAGTGATGTAATTAATTAACATCTGTACCATCAAGCTATAAGTTTTGAACTGGAAAACTAAGAGCTGTCTTTTCATCATTAACAGATTATAATTTCCCCTGTTAGAGCAAATTTATCTGTCAGAGAGCAATACAAAAAAACCTTAGTTTAAAATCAAATATCAGATTTTTTTTTCCAAATGTGTGTATTTTATGCAAGAAAGTCAATCTGTATACATATGCAAATGATGAATACAAAGGTATCTGCAGAAATAATCAATTTTCCAATTTAATTGAGATATATAATTCTGAATTCTGGACTTTGACAGAGAAAAGTTACCCACACGTGAACTGATGTAAATGGTGTAGATACAGATATATTCAGATATATCACATAGAGAATGGATGACTTGATTTATAGAACATGCCAGTGTTAATGGGAGTTAGAAATTGCTGGTACAAATCATTTCTTCACAGGGTAGCACTGAATATCACTGAATCTGTGAGGGAATTTAAAGTATGGCTTACAAGGAGAGTAAAGTATCCATGTTTGGAAAAAGCAAGCTAGGCTATCATAATCACCTTTTTTTTAATAGGAGTTTTGTATTATACTGCTTTTAATTCATGTCTCTCTAGTGCCATATGGAAGTATTGTTTCAGTTAGAAGTGACATCATCAGCACTGTGTGAACATGGCAATACAGGTGGATTCAAATCACATTTGTGATTTTTTTAGGAAATTTCTCATTCAGCCCGTATTTTGCAACTGGAACTGAAATCATTGCAATTGTTCTAACACAAGATCTCCTCTTTTACATACATAGAGGAGCAAAGTCTAGGAAATGCCACCTAGTATAAAATGCTGTTGTTCTTCCTTGCAGCAAGAGGGATTATACTTTTGCTTGCCACTGAAATTTATGCTAAGGTCAGTGTTTTGATCCTCATCTCCAAAATACACCGACACTCGAGCCTACTTTATCTAAAATATTTGTTAAATCTCTCAGAAATGAAGAAGAAAGTTGCAACTGTAGAATCATAGAACGGTTGAGGTTGCAAGGCTCCTCTGGAGATTTCCTGCTCCAGCTCCCCTGCTTGAGCAGAGACAACTCAAGCAAGTTACTCTGGACCCTGTCCAACTCCAATTTTGAGTATTTCCAAGAATGGAGACTCCACAGAATACTCCATCTTCTTTACTCCCTCCCATCAGGTGTTGATGCACATTGAGCTTTCTCTTCTCCAGCTGAGCAGTCCCAGCTCTCAGTCTCACCATGTGTGCCAGGTGCTCCAACCCCTTTAACACCTTCCTGGCCATTTGCTGAAGTCACTCCAGAATGTCCGTGTCCTTGTGCTGTGGAGCCCAGAGCTGGACACAGAGCTCCAGAGATGTCTCACTCAGCTCAGTGCTGAGCAGAGGGAAGGATCCCCTTTTGTTTGTCACAGTTGTCA